GTAGTGAACTTAATACTTCTTGGCCTAGTGGCTCTGAATATGTTTGAACAAGTATGGTTGCATTATGGATCCCACCTGCCATTTACCTTCCTGTGCCAGAGCTACCGTCATGGGAGTCATTTACAATTCCTAGCAAATATGCATGTAATCATCATGTCAATAAAGTTTTACAGCCACTCACCCAACGGTCTACTGTACATAGGTATATGTGTATATGTAGACACCAAACATTGGAATTCCTTCAGAAATGTCCACATTTTGTATACCATATCACAGCATTCATATTTCTATGATCTCCCTCAAAGACTTGGTGCCCTAATGTTGTAGCTTTGAGGTACTTTTGACCTTCTAGCAGTTGTTAGAGTCAAAAAGGGTTGAATTCGGCTTCAAATTTGTGTTACAAATGTTATCAACCCAAACTTGGTTTTTCAGCATTGGATTAGCTATTATTTACTTACATCATAATGTTCTTAGGCCCTATACACTTGAAACCTTTAATATGTTAATAAGGGCCTATCATAAAAACAATGTTTATAACAGATTCCTGACTTGAAAAGCCTTCAGGTTCTCAGCTTTCAAATGAGGAATACCCCTTTTTGCACACTCTAAAATGTGCCTGAAACAAAGTACTTCTTCGTCAACTAGTTTTTACGCATCATTTTGTCACCAGTGATTTTAACAGTGACGATCTTTTAGCAGCTATCGAATAGACAGTAGTTAACATGCTGCAGAGGGAAGAAAGCATAGTTGTTATTATTATTGTTTTTAAGAGTCTTTGTCTAATACTATATTGTGATAATTACGGTGGGCGACCCGCTACAAAGGCCCAAACACTTCCATTTAGAATAATGAGCTTGCTTTCACAAACGATTCAAATACACAAACACAAAAGTGGAAAATACATTTAAATTAAGAAACATCCCCACCACCTTCTGAATGGAAATGTTTTTGGGCAGTTGTAGCACGTATTGGCACCGTTATTAATATATGCTTACACATATATGATGCATCTTTGACATGCTTCCTGGTTGGCTGTATTTTATGCAAACACACAATGGTCCATGTGGCTGCTGCATTACACTGTAACATTTTGAAGCAGGATGTGTGAGTATCGACGCACATTTTTCCAGTTCAGTTATACAATTTGCTAAAAACAATTGCTTGTTTATGCTGGAGGGATGACAAAGCAGTGCAGAAACCAGGCCACACTCCAATTATGAGAGAGGGGAGTATTGATCCCATCTGAACACGGTGGCTGCCTCAAAGCAGAGTCATGCACTCATTAAGATGAGCCTGCACGCAGTCTCCCAGGCGTTCACAGACAAACATTTGCAAAGCCACACACACACACACACACACACACACACGCACACGCACACACGTCAACTAGACATTTACACACTTAATCACTGTCTTGTTTGCTCATTTTTTATGCAGTATCGTATGCTTGCCCCTTCGCTCATTTGCTCTCTGTTTGAGGTTGAATGACCTCGGGCAGTATGGGTGTATGCAAGTGTGTGTGCATATGGTAGCTGCACAATATTCTAGCTACAAGCTAATAGCTCATTTAGAAGGCTCTAAAAACAGCAGTATAATTGTCTAATCTTCCACAGCAGGTGGTTTATACAGAAACAAAAGCATGTGAAGCTGCAGCTTTGCTCTGACCAACCATAATCATTGCAATGTTTCCATGGGATTTCTGTTTTCAGTTTGTGTACCTTGGCTATGGTTTTCATTCCCCATGTTAGCACTGTGTGAGCCATCTTTATTCCAGAGTAAAGCCAGTGAAAGAAGGGGCTTGGGTCTTATTTTCTGTCAGTTCATTATCTTCTTTTGTGTCCACTGTTATCTATTTTCACATCCTTTTCTTTGTTTTATCTTAGATAATTGTTCTGTTCTGTAATCTGTTCTTTAGCCTACTTTTCTCTCTTTTTAAATCTTTAATTGTCAACATTATCTTGAAAAAACTCTTGTTTTTCTCACATCTGTTTGACAAACATTTCCATTCTAAAGCAGGCTGTCTCCTGTCTCTGAGGAGTAGTTTGGATGTGCCAGTCTTTTCCCCTGATGCCATTGGATGATGCAGATGTGCACTTTGTCTGTGTATTTTTCACAGAAACAGAGATGCTGCAGTATGAACAGCTGCTGCCAACTAAATGACAATGCCAGGAGGAAGATGATTCATTCATCTGATCGAAGAGTTTCGATCTTCCAAATTCTTAAGTGATAGAAATACTTACAACACCCTCAATTGATATAAGACACTGCATAGGCTTAGACAAATTCACTTTTACATCTTGAGCATGCATAAAGTTATATCCACCAGGACTAATAAGTAAATAAAGATGTTCAATATCCTCTAAATATCATTTCTGGATCCTTTGGATATGATTGAGGGTGTCATGTAATAAGAGTTTAAGAGCTTATTTAACTTTGTACTATCTTTCGATGTAAATTACACGATGAACATTATTAAAACAATGTTGTGTTTAATTCAACTACCATAAACGAATACTATTTCTTACTGGGCTTAATGGGTATTTTGGGTGCAACAGCATGGAGGCACAACTTGTATAAAAATAAATTCATTAATCTTTCAATGTTTATGCCTTGAGACTACAAATTAAAAACTTGTTCTTGTATTATCTTCCCGACAAGTTATTCAACTTAAGACGGGCTTCCACACACATGCTTTTGGTTGCTCAAATAATATATATTAATATTTTTGTTGACGTCATAATCAATTATTTATAACCACTATATATATATATATATATTATTATTATTATATTTATAACTTCACAGTGTGTATCACCTAAAATCTGAAACGTGCAGAAATACAACAGCGGCGGTGGCTGGGGGTGGCCGTGGCCACCCCCAGCCACGGGGGCCCAAACTATTTTAGAACATTAAGAAAAACATGTTTAAGTAACCTTTCATCATTCATCAAGAATTAACATTAATAGGACGTTATATTGATAATGTACTCACTAAACTTACAATTCATTTAACTTGTTTTCTTCCAAAAGTTAATTATCCTAAGCCTCTGTACACCCCCTTCTATTTACATGTAATGGTTTGGTCCTGCCTCCAAACGCGGTGCAGCACAGCCGGCACTTTCTAGCAGAGAGTGAGAGCATGTGAGGAGCAGGGATGCTAGTACTTACGTGTGAACCATGGTGTGAACCATGTCTCAACGACTCACAAAGTTAGGCTTTCAAAAGAGAAAAGAAAGGAAAGAAAGACAAGAGAGGGTGACATTATGTCACCAAGTTTTTCAAAAAAAGGTGGGTGTGGTCTATGAGTGGTGGAAATGTGTCTGTTAGCTACGCGTAGTCCATTGTAAATAATAATAATTGTTATGTTTTTTGTTTTAGTAAGCTGACATTAAGTACTGTTAACAGGTTTTTAATTGCACTGCTCTTTTATCTGACATTTAATAAATGCAGGTACATTTTTAGAAGCTATTCATATTAAATAAGTTGTCCCTCCCCCTGGTGCCAGGACCAACAGATCCATCTCTAGGCTCAGCAGCCCTGTCCCCCCCCATAATGCTGAACCTGAACCAGCTTTTCTCCCAACTGAAGGAGGTGAGCAGCATTGTGTTGAATGCCATGCCACTTAACATATCTGAAGGGAGACTGGAATACAATATATATATATATGTATATCAAAACAGAAAGCTAACATCTAATTTCAATTACACATTTCAAACACAGTATTTTTCCACATATTTAAGTTATATTTATTTGGATTTATGCATTCATGTTGAGAATGTTTCAAAAATGTTATTAAAAATACATGTACACCATAAAAGATGACTATTGAGATCTATGTTGGGAATATTAGTCTTATATCAAATAGTGAATTCTACTGCAGCAGAATGTTGCACGTCTGCACACTGTTATATTTTCACAGCTCAGTGTCAGTAAATATTGTGCAGTTAGTATTGGACTACAAGATAGATGCAAGCCTGTACAGGTAGAGTTATTTAAAGCATAAATGAGTCGGTTGGGTTCTGGAGGTGTGGTTACAGCAATTGTGCTTGGTTGGCGTGGCCTGTGCCTGGTGGTGGGGGCCAATGTGATATATTTTCATGGGGCCCAAAATCCCTGGCGTGTATGGCCAGAGGGCAGGACCTATAACACATTTACTACCCAATAGCATTGTGAGGCTGAACAAAAGGACCTTTTGACTATGTAAATGTAGTCTTTTAAAAAACCAAAACATTTACTGACTTTTTTAGGATAGCTTCAAGTAATGTTGTAAAATTACAACCGGGGGCCTTACAGGGTTAAGAGCTATTGTTTATTGTTATTTACTTTAAGATGTTTATTCTTAACCAATAATTTAATTTAAAAACTCTTATTTAAATGATGTGTGTGTGTCTGTATTCCTGATGATACCCTGAGAGAATGAGCTCATAGTGCTGCTGATCATCATAAGCTAAATAGTCTATATATTGCATTACATTTGTACAATGTAAGCTTCGTTGTTATACTTTGCCTACGAAAAAATACGAGAAAAAATAGTTAGATATACTGAATATGATATGATCTATTCCACCACTTAATCCCAAATAATGTAGAGGTGTGTGCCTTAAATAACCCCTTGTTTTCTAGTGAGATGTATTTTTATGTTCATAAAATAGTGATTTCAATGCCACCCCAAAATGATCACTGGTTCCATCCTGGCCACCCCACTGAAAATGTCCTGGCTCGGGCTCCGCCACTGAAATACAAGCTTAATTGTCATTAAATTGAGAATCAGCACTATTCTGTTAGAACATGTCTCGTGGAGTGACAAGCAGGGATCCCGGAGTGATGCGGCAGTCTGAGCACAGCCGCGGAGGGAGACAGCATCCGAATAGCCAGCCTGCTGTCCAGGTCTACTTTCCACGGGCATCAGTTGTTGTTGGGAGAAGGCTGGTGAAGTATCACCAACAGCTGCATATGATTTTAACAATTTCTGCACAAAAAATAAACCTTTTTAAACTTCGCCAAAACTTTGCCTTGCCACGTAACCATATGCCCTTTCCTCATTAAAAAAAAATTATATTTTAGGATATTATGTTAGCAAGTTAATTGATTTGTGTCAAAAGAGCTATCAACTGAGGGGGAGGCATTTTTTTCTCTCTTCTCATTATTAGACGACTGTTTTCCGCCCTGTCTCCGCCGCTTAGAGCCAGCTATTCTGGTCGAAACCAACCCAGTACCGTTTCATCTTCTGAGGAGACCCGACTGACTGCACCGAAATGGGGGTAAGAGCCAAATCTCTTGACATTTTCTGCGCTGAATTGTCGGTTCTGTGAAAGTTAGCTCGACAGTATGAATGTGAAACCGTTGACGGCCAGCCAGTAAGTAATTTAAGGAGAGGGTTGAGTGATATTAAATGACATTAACACGGTGGTATATGTTGTTTGTTTAAGCTAACTCCATAACTGTTAACGATATGTCAAACTAACTGCATGAATTACACTTCTGTCAAATGGGTCTAATTGCTCTCTCGGGATGTCATTATAGGAGGTATTCCTTCATTAATGTCGTTTCTCACATCACTTAAATGCGTTTAAATTCATAACAGTTAATGATATTATTGGGACTTAAAGGACTTTTTGCTGCCTGAAAATGGCATCTTTTTCGGAGGAATATGCCGTCTCCTACGGAGTCCATTTGGTGAGACAGAACCGGTGCAGGGTGGTTACCCGTTACGTTCCTCGGTATCTGTCTCATTACAGGTCTCGACCAAGTTACAATTATGTCACTGTTTCTACCACCCTGGGTTGACATTAGAGCGAAGTTTAAATATCCATTTCCCACCTTTAAATCTAATGTGTTCCTCAGGAGAGGGGTAGAAGTAAAAGGTACTTTCGTAAGGCATCGATACAATCCCACATGTCACTTTATTTGTAAACTGGCAGAGGGCTTTCTGGTTGTTTTGGCGCTGTAACGCAAAAGTAATGTAACGAGCAGGTGTAACAAGTCTGAAAACGGGACTAATGTATTAATGGCTTTGGCTTACAAACATTTGTCATTTGTCAAGATAGGCTGTGTTAACCTTTTCCAAAAAGCGAGATTACACCATGCGAACATCTGGCACCAGGAGATGGACCCGCTGCAGACTATTGAGGGAATTCACAGCTCCTGAATACACGATTAGCCAGACTGCAAAATGACGAGGGAGAGTCGGTCCGTTCAGAAATGAAATCGTTTGTGAATAATATGAACGTGAAAAGCTAAATTATGCGTGGGAATTAATATGTATGCTCTGATGATAAGTGATTACCGAAACCTTGAATGCAGAAAGTAATGTAATTCCTCCGTCTGACTGCAGTAACTATTAATCCTGGTATTGTATTGGCAGTTAGGGTAGGAGAGCTAATAGAAAGTATTGCATTTTAATAATATTTGGAAGATAATAAGTGGGTAGGGGGAATCAAAACCATGAAAGCTATGATTTATTTCCCCCCTTTTTTCGACTAACCATTAGGGGCATTTTGATAACATTCGTCTGGCTTCACTGTCATTCACCACTGGTTTAAAGGCAATTCAAGGTGTGGGTACCAAATGGGCACAGACAAGTGTGTCAAAATGGTTCCTCAGTGTTGGTCAATCTAGGGCTGCTCAATTAATCGTATTTTAATCGCAATTATGATTTTGGCTTGCAACGTTTATGAAAACAACATAATCGAAATAAAACGATTTATTTTTAAATTATTTTTGTATTGATTTTTCAGTTGAATTATACTTAAAGTTCAGAGCAATCAACTATTAAAAATAGACTGTTCAAATGTTTTTTTTCAAGAAATGGATGTTTTCAAAGTAAATGGATAATCGTTTTTAATAATTGTGATATCAATTATTGACCCAAATAATCGAGATTATGATTTTTGCCATAATCGAGCAGACCTAGGTCAACCCCACCTCTCAGCCTCCTTTCCTAAAATATTCTGAGGGTGGGTCCCAAAGAAGATGCTCTCCACAAGGGGTAGACACAGCCAACATCCTCTTCTAGCCAATACATTCTTAGACTCTATGATGATGTCATTCCTACAAAAAAAATCCATGTTAAATTCCTTCAGTGTTTTTACACGGCATTATCCCGTGTCTTAACACAGTGGTGAGGTACCTTATATAGCTCTATGATATTTCATTATCTCCTGCAGCATGCTGCGTTGTCACATGGAGTAAATGCATTATAGTTTCAAGTTGTGTTATGGCCTATAAAATGATGTGAACATGCACTGCAGGGCTGTAGCTCCATTTCCTCAGTGTCAATGGTGTGTTAGTCCATCCCTTCTAATGAAGCATGATGGGCAGTGGAGTTTACTCTGCTCCACATGCGGGTGTAGGGGAATGGGATGAGAGAGCATTTAGGCCGAGTGGTGGAAATAGTGTCACGACATCTCGTCACGGTTTGTGATGCTGTCCACTAGATAGCCGGAGGGGAGACCATGTATAACCCGTCAAAAAGAGCATGAGGGAAGTGTGTATGTGTGTTTGTGTGTGTGTACATAGTAGTGAAGTGGAAACTACTATTTTCAGGATGTGATTTGCCATCAACAAGGGTGGAGTGAGAGGAGTAAAAAGTGTGTGGGGGAGACAGCAGGAAGCTTTCGTTGACAAGGCAACCGGTGCCATTTGAACCGTGCCAATCAATTGACAGGAGGCGACGATTAGGGTGGGTGAGAGAATGGATGGCAGAGATGAAACGAAGGTCAGCCAATGTAGGGAGCTCCAATTGAGAGATAAGCTCACCAAGATCCAGGGATTGACTGGAAGGTAGACAGAGAGAGAGAGAGAGAGAGAGGAAGTGATGCTTAGAGGTGAGTCACCTTGAAAAGGGTGACCACAAGGAGAATTGGAGGAGTGGAGGAATGCCACAATGTGGTGCTGCCCATGTGCACAGAAGAAGGAGCAATGTTGGAGATTTAGACAAAAAATTGAGGTGTGAACCCTGAGATATATAGATTTTAGACAAGAAATAAGGATGAACGCATCTGCTGATATCCTGTAATGCCCTCGGTACAGAAGTCTCAGTAAAAGAGCCAAAGAGAATGTGTGTGTGTGTGTGTGTGTGTGTGTGTGTGTGTGTGTGTGTGTGTGTGTGTGTGTGTGTGTGTGTGTGTGTGTGTGTGTGTGTGTGTGTGTGTGTGTGTGTGTGTGTGTGTGTGTGTGTGTGTGTGTGTGTGTGTGTGTGTGTGTGTGTGTGTGTGTGTGTGTGTGTGTGTGTGTGTGTGTGTGTGTGTGTGTGTGTGTGTGTGTGTGTGTGTGTGTGTGTGTGTGTGTGTGTGATATATCTATAGTACTTTCTCTTTTTCTGTCCCGATAATAATTGTTTTGTAAAAATTGGTAGACAAAATAATTTGTTATTCTGTGTGACTGTCCTTCATGCACTTGAACTACATTGAAAGATGTAATAGTGTTAATCATGCCCATTATATTTTCATTATCTATAATAAGAAACGAGGAGGCTACGCAGCCAGTACATTCAACAGTGAAACATATGTGACACTGCTGTGGCCATCCACAGAAAACCCAAATTAATGGATTTCATGATGTCTCATGAAATTGTTCCGTTAGTGAAACCAGTTGTTGGTTTATTAGGATGTTGTTTTAGGCTATATACATTCCCTGTGGCAAATAATGAGCAAAAGGGATGAGTGGTAAGCTTTCGCTTTTCTCAGTGCATTATGCATAATTATTATTATTTTATTAGCTGTTACCTCATTGGTTGGTTGTTTCATCTTTTTTTACTGAAGATATAGATGTTGTATTCAATGCCACTGAATCAGTTGAAAGCTGTAACTGGACCATGGCAACACATATTAAATCACATATTCAAATGACTTTGCGCCGATTCCAACATCTAAACCATTAGTATTTCCAGACAAGGGCTTTGTTACACGACGTTTTTGCAAGTTCAACAATGAATTAGAGAGAAAATAGAGATAAAAAAAACAGAGTCACTGGGACTTTTAGTATATGGTGCCCTCATTTAACCACCTGTTAATGTGTGAGCAGGTTTGGAGAATTGTTAGGCTTCCGAGTACAAAGGCAGTTCAATGTGTATCACAAAACCATAATTAACATACAATAATGCGGGCACAGCAAAAATAATCTTGATGCTATGTGATTCTAGTGAGTTGTGCTGCTTCTCGAAGATGATGTATAGAAACAGGATTATTGGCACACTAAACGAAAAGAATGTAGTCCACTCACTCAGAAATGATTATAAATATCACCTTATAACTGCCACTGTTGTTTGAATGTACTGCATACAGTTCAATATTATCTTTGTAGTTGTAGTAATACCATGTACAGTATGCTCTCCTGGTCATGGACTCTGTTGCATAATTGTTTCAGTCAATATTTCATCAATGCTGACTCAACCTCAGACTGTCCTTTACTAGTTTCCATCTGTGTGTAACACACGTGGATCCATACTACTGCACATCAGCCATCATGTTTTCCAATGCCTCTGATTATGTTTGATGTTTAGTACATTTCCTAAACTGTACTGGGAGGTCACTTTGACATCACTTCCTGTTGCGGGGTGACTTAAGATTCAAGTGTAACTAGTAGTTTTCCATTCATTCTCCAACAGCACCCTACAGAAGTGACAGGGAGGTGGAGATTTTGAGAACACACTGCACACTGATCATTACAGCAGGTTTACATAACACACCTTCACATTAAGAACATCATTACAAAATTACAATACCCCCCTCTTCCCCCTCCCCTCATGGTTGATTTCAATTATTAAGCGGATTGGATGTTGCTAGGGAACCTCACATCCCCCATCTTTCAAGCCATTGGGAGTAGACACTGTCTATCTGATTCTGTCAACAACTGCCATTTTCTATCCACTCTCAGCCACTGTGGGAGCCGGCGACACACTGCTAACTGGTGGGGAGCTGCACAAAGTCTCTTATTATTTCTGATAAATGTACTCAGGCAGCCATCTGAGCTTTCACTGTGAAAATATATTTGAAGAATCAAATGAAAAACAATTGAAACTGATGGCTTATCTCGCTGTGGATTGTATCAGTCGCTGGAAACACATGCACTGAGTTAGAACGTGGCTCAGACTTTTTCCTCTTGATTAAACCTCGGTGCAGTAGATCAGAGTAGAGGACAGCAGACAAACAGATGGGCAGCCAGAGGGAGGAGAATGTAAACAAAGTGGGACGGAGAAGGGAGGGATAGTTGATGGAAGACCCCCCTTACTGCGAGTGTGAGTGTTTTTCTAGGTCGGTCA